TCAAAAGTCTCTTATCAAATAAGAACTCTCCCAACTCATAATTCATTTTACTTAAAGTTGATATTTTACCAGCAAGATCACGCTGACCTTTATATTGCTCATCCAAGAACTCTGTGGTAAGGTAGTCTACCAGCTAAAATTAAACAGTTGAACGATTAAAATTGAATATGTTTAAAGTAATCTGTTTCTTATAAACATGAAAGTATAAAGAATTTTACTTACATGATAATCATTGAACTTTGAATCTTCTTCACATGTATGGATGACTTTATGAATACTTCGTGTGACATTAGTTTCCAAATCAAGAGCAGATGTAAGGGCTGTAAGACCATTTGACCATGATGCACTTACCGGATCCTAAAATTAATATTTGTTCGTTTCCAATTTTTCAAATTAATTATCAATGTAACATTTACATAAACATCATTAAAATGTTATTTTAATTATGATGTACATACCATTAACATGTTCATAAGTGAGTTGAAGTCAACAGCTGATTCACCACGCATTAACAAGTATTCAAGGATTTTTATTCCATGCTCTCTTTCTTCATTAGCAGCTTTAAAAAAGAATTCACTAAATCCAAGTCGATTATATGAATACTCAGCAAATTGAGCTCCCTATAATGGAAGTACATGTAAGTATAATTTTCATTATTACAAAACAGCAAACATAATTATAGATACCATAGCAAGGTAAGTACGAGAAGCTTGAATTTCTTTGTGAAGCTGCTCCTCTAATCCTTTCGTACAGCTTCGGCTCATATCCACCCACCTAGATGGTATGTTAGCATCATGCAAACCTAGAATTATAAATTCACAATATTGTGTAACGAAAGAAATTAAGAAAATCTTAATTTATTAAATAAATATTATACTGTACAAATTAATTAGAAATTATTGTATCAGTATGAGATATTGGATTTTATTGATAATAGCGAGTCTTTTGTAGAGTAGATAAGATTGGACTTATATATCTTTAGAGTTACAAAAGCAATTTTAGATTACTGCAATTATCATTATTTCTTTAGCACTTCATTTTGTGTATTATCTTTAGTTCTCATTCTTTATGTAATATTGGGATTTGCTTTTTTACTTTTATAAAACAGCATTTCATAATATTTTATTTTATAATATATTAGTATGTTATGTATTATAAACTGTTAAGACAGAAGAAATACAACTAATATATGAAATAAATATATTATTATTTACAGCATTAAATACTTAGTATACGATAGGATAATAATAATATTAGTTAATAAGACACATATTCATTTCTCTATAAGTTAATATTACTCAGAAACTCATAACGAAACTATAGAAGAGGAAGTCATTTATGATATAAAGTAGATATCTAG